TGGGTGAGTGGGTGGGTGGGTTTAGTGAGTTCAATGGGTGAAGGCACGAGGCCGCGTACAGTACACACACACATCCACCTGTCTGTCTGCTTGTGCGTGTCCACACTCGCGCGTGTGTGTGAGCAGGGTCTGTCCAGACTGCATGGGGAAGGTCTCAGCGTGTCCGTCGATGTCGACTCGGTGGAAACCAACATCTTCTTCTTCAGGTTGGTCTCAAGGACACACCACACCCTGTGCACTGCACACATTGCCCATGGGTGAGTCCATCCATCCATTTAGGCTCGATCCGTCGACGACCCCGCCGAGAATGACAGCACCGAAACTCGCCGAGGCCCTGGCCGCCCCAGTTGGTGGCGACGCAGAGGACGAGCGGCCCATCATCCGCGTGAGCGCCTGGGACGAGCAGAGGATACGCATTGTCACTCACTACCAAATCAGGTGACTGAGTGAGTGCGTCGGTGGGCGTGTTCGTGGATGGAAGGTGAGCATTCATTCTGTCTCTCTGTTTGTCTCTGTGTCTGTGTGTGCCTGCTGTGTGGTCATTCATCAGTGAGGACGACGTGCGGACGGTGCTGTCTGCAGTGAGACGACTGCTCAGCCAGGCGGCTGCTCAGCGTGTCGTCGTGTCGGAGGCTGGCTGACTGGCTGGGTGTTCGAAGAGCTGGTTGTGTACAGCTAGACTAACTCGTGTGTATTTGTTGGTAGAGGACAGTAATTGTGGAGTTCAATGGTGAACTGAACAGGGGTCTCCGAGGTGTGTCTGCTACAAGATGAGAGCATGCCCTACCTGCCACCAAAGTAGCTACTCCAGCCCTTTTTTTTTTCTTGACGCGCGGCTCTCGTGAGGGGGAAAAGAAACCCTTAACCCGAAATCCTTGAGGGTTGGCATTCGACTCCTTTGCTTCTCCGGTGCCCCTCTCACGCGCACAATCATGGCCCGTCACTGGCTGTGTCCGTCATCTCGCGGGCAGCGGCGGCACGGCTCATCCAGACATCCCCACAGAGGTGCTGATGGACACGGCGGCGCCGGCAGACAGCACATGGACGAGGCCGGCATCCAGCAGGTAACAAGTTGCGGGCAACACGCGACAGACAGGAACACATGCAGTCGTTTCTTCTCGTGCCGACTGCTGGATCTCAGGTTGCTGCAGCTCTCTTCGTTTCCCAGGTGTGATGAAAGTTTGATCTTTCTCTCGTGAAGCATTCTATGATTACTCTGTGTGTGTTGCGGCTGCAGCGAGACCAGATAATGACTCCATCGTTCCCACAGCCCGCCTCACAGGCGCCGGTAGCTGATAACACGGGGGAGGGCCAGAATGAGGTCAGCGTGCAGCCAGATGCGGCGCAGACGACGGAGAGCGGGCCATCGTCCGAGCAGCAGCAGCAGCCGCAGCAGAGGGACGGTGGTGAGTGAGCCGCGCATTGGTTTCTCATCCACGTGTGTGTGTATCGGTGTTTCGCTCCCTGGTTGTCTGTCAGGTGTGCATGGGAATAGCAGCGGTGGCCGTCGGTCTAGTCAGCCTGGCCCTCCTCTGCCGCCTCTGCCCCTCTATCAGTTCAATTTTCCCCTCGCCAAGAGGTTTCCGCCCACTATATATGGTATGGTAGTACAAAGAAAGAAACACACAGGCTTGGCACATACCCACACTCATCGATTGGGCGTCTATGTGTGTGTGTGTGTGTGTGTGCAGGTCAGGTGCCTTTTCAGTTGGACAGCACGATGATGTCGCTGCCTCCTCCGATGCCGATGGCGTCGCAGCACCTCCAATACACCAAAAAGCAATCCAGGAAGATCGTCATATACACGGCCATCGACGCGGTCAGCCAGGGAGCGGTGTCAACATTCACCACCCACCACTCGCTTCATGACCGGATGGCGTGGTGGTGTGGGCGTGGAGTGCGTGTGCAGGTGTTAATTGCCTTGTGGTTTCTGCGTGACATGTGGCTGCTCTTGGCAGTCCCATTTCCTCTGGTCTTCGGTGCCGTGGGTGCGGTGTGGTACTCCAAGCGGATGCTCGCTGCGGTGAGTGAGTGAGGAGTGAATGCAATGGAGAGCCAGCCAGGCGGGGCCGGCTGATATATGGACAGACATCTCTGGTGGATGTGTGGATGCGTTGCCGTGCAGTATCTGATAGGTCTGCTGGTGGTGTCGGCTGTGCGGCTCTTCTTTATGATATTCGCACAGGGCGAAGTGGTATCCAATCTACCCACCGTCCGTCACACACACAGACACACAAACAGACAGACACAAACGGAGAGCGAGCAAGACAACTACGAGTGTCCTCGTGTGCGTTCCGGTCGATCGATCCATCAGTACTCGACGGTCATCGACGCTGTGGCGCTCGTCTACGAGGTTTTCGTCAGCTGCCCTGTGTCACAATTCTGGAAACTCATCCGGACCCTCGCCGAAGAAGGTATGCAGGGAGGCAGGCCACGAACACACACACACAGACACAGATACATCCTTGAATGTGTCTGTGGGGATCCACAGATCTGCACGAGCTGCGAAAGCGCCGCCGGCTTCATCTGCGGACGAGGCGCAAGAACATCCACCAACACGGCAGCACCCCCGTGGCCACCATGGTCTGACTGACGGTCTCTCGGTCAAGTCGATTTTGCTGTACAGAACAGACAGAGTCAGTCGCCCATCGATCCATGTGAGGCGGCTGACAGGCAGACAAGTGTGAGGGTGCGTTAGTGTGTTCATTGGGACTGTTTTTGGCTGTGTCGGCCGCGGACAGACAGCTAGACGGCAAGACATTCACTTGTCTGCATGGCCGTGCCCAGCTGTGTCGACTCATTCGTTCATGCGTACATAAACACACACACACATTTCTATCAGCCACTGCGCATGTGTGTCTAACTGTATCAACCCAACACAGGCAGGCAGGCAGGCACCCTTATCAATCCCTACTAGCTTGGCCACTTGGCCACTTGGGCCGCCCGCCTTGTTAGTTGGTGGCGATAGTGCACGCGTTGGGGTCTGTGAGGCTGCAGCACTTGAACTGGTAGGGCGGCGAGGTGCCCCCCGACGGCACAGGGTGGCATAGAAGAGACCTGACAACGCATAGAGAGGCAGAGACATATGCACTCACACGTGTTCCTGGCCGGCAGTGGTGGCTGGCGGGATGCCGTGTGCGTACTGATCGGTGGGTGTCTGCCACCAAGGCTGGCCTTCTGCGTCGAACGGCTGAATCACCTGCACTCATTCATTCGGTAGGGGGGAAGGCCAGGCACAGACAGCGAGAGGGAATGGATGCTCATCTTGGCTCTTTTAGTTCATTGGCTGTCTGACCAGCCAGGAGACTTCCTCCGGGTAAAGGTGGATCATGTCACTGGCACACGCGATACACACACACATGAATCACTGTGTGTATGGCTGGTTCTACAGGCCTGGTGTGCTTACAGCGGCGTGCATGTCTCTTCCTGGATGATGACCTTGGCGTAGTCATCCGTCTGCTCGTGGAGGCGCAGCTCTAACCGCCAACCCCCCCACACACACACACAGAGAGAGAAGAAGAGAGAGAGGGAGAGGAGAGAGAGGACCGCCGTGTGTGCGTATGTCTGTGTGTATTTCTGTGTATGTGTCTGTGTGTGTACGTGATGCGTTGTCGCCCCAGTAGCTGGCGATGTTTCCGAACACGTATCCGTCCTTGATGGTGGTGCCGAAATCGATCCTGTAATGCTGCTCAGTGACCGCTTTTGGCTGCATACCATAATGGAGAGACATGTCCGTGTGCTGTGCTGTGCTGTGTGTTTCGGGCAGGCAGACATTGCTGACCGACCGACCGTGATTCCGCCCCTGAGGATTGCTTGTCCGAATGGCGCGTAGAGGACGCTGTTGACAGCACCAGAGAAGGCCACCCAGCCCAACACTGACACACACACACACACACACAGAGAGAGAGAGAGAGAGACTATCACATGCGTCAGTGAGGGAACGCGTGGTTTTGTCAGGCCGCTTATTACCCTCATTGTCAAAGTCGTCTGGATTATGCGGGTCTGTAAGCTTCTTACCCTGAGTCTCAAGAGCCACCTGCAGCACACAACATACACACGCACACGCACACACGCACACACGGCGTGCAGCGCCTCTCTCTCTCTCTCTCTGGATGTCTCTCTCTCTCTCTCTGGCCGGCTTGCCTGGAATCCTGTGTTTGTCAGGTTCTGGACGCGCTGCTTGACGAACATACGGTTGGTGTCCTTCGTCTGCACCTGGACACAGGACCCACACACGAGATGAGTTGAGCGTGTCTCGCTCGAACACCCTAAATGTGAGTCCTTACCTGCAGGAGGATGATGGGCCTCTCGACGAAGGCTGCCTCGGGCGGGAAGGTGATGTCAAACCACTGCTTGTTGTCCGTCACCACCGCAGTGCCGGCTGAACGAGACACCACATGGACGTTCTATGCGCTGTCTGTCTCAATGTCTCACCGACCGGCGACAGTGATGCTGCCCCTGTCTGTGGCCACGGTGTGTACACCGGCCTCAATCACCTGCACTCATGGACGGAACGCGCGTGTGTGCATTATTTTCTTTGGTCTGTGCGGTGCGCACCATCCATGGCATGGGTGTGGCTCGGTGCCACTGATCTCTGCACGGCACGGGCTCGTCGAAGTCAGCCTGGAAGGAGTCTGCACAAGAGTAGGCAGGAGGGAGGGAGGAAGGGGCGGAGGGAATGCATGTCTGTGCCTCGCTTGCGTACTGGGTGTGACGTCCTTGATGCGGACAACGACCTCGTGGTGGCCTCTGCCATTCATCATGGGGGGAATGCCCATGAAAACCACCTGCATGCATTGCGGCACAAGGAGGCACCACACCCGAACCACCCGATAGATAGACAGATGCGGTCGTGCTGGCTTTGTGTGTCGCTCACGGGGCTTGTGAAGGTCTTCTTGGTTTCAATGGTTGTGAACTTCCGCGTGTGCATCGTCACCTTGCCCACCTCCATCGGCAAGGCTGCATTCAGAACGAGACAGTAACAGTAACAGGGACAGGAAGCGATTGTGCACGCGTGTCTCCAAATGCGTGTGTGCGCATGTCTCCACACTGATGGTCGGCTTCTCAAAAGACATCGTTGTGGTCACCAGGGTGGTCGGGCAAGACATTGGCACCTCACAACCTGCAAAGCAGATCGACAACATACAGCAACGGCCGTCCCATTCCCGTCTCAGCTGCACCTGTGCTGACGGTGTCCGAGTGCAAAGTGACGGGCCCCAAGCACGACATGTGCGGCGTCAGACCCACCCACTGACGCACACAAATCTGCAGCTGCGTCAGCTGATCCAGCTGGGCCGCCTGCTTCTTCAGCTGGTACCGGACATACATCTTGCCGTCATGGTAAGACACGCCCGGCTCATCGGCTGGCACGTTCTTCGGGTCGATGGCAATGAAGCCCTTCCCCTCCTTGTACAGTTTGTCCGCCACATCGATCACCATCGTCTCGCCCCCATGGCTGGGGTTCGCCCAGCCGTTCTGCTCCCATGCATTCCAGCCAGAGAAAGGCTCACTCTTCGCCACCATGACGGCCTTGACGTCGACAGTGATGGGCAGGTACGTGTTTGCGGCGTCCCAGCAGGTCCTCTCGGCCAGTGGCGCCTGGGTGATGGGGCAGCCGCTGGCCGTCCTTGCGAACAAAACGAAATCCCAGTGGTCGATGTCGTCGAAGACCACATTGTCGAAGCAGTTGGACTCGAAGGGCTTCTGCCAGTCCAGATATGGCGTCGACACCTGGTATGTCACGTACGACCCCGCACTACTGGAGGGAACAAAACTGGAGGGACCACCCAGAGGAACATTGTTGCCAGAAGCTGTGCAAGAGAACACAGATACGCAGCTGCAATGAAGCCTCTTTTGCCTGCACTTTCCCTCTTCCCTGGTCATGCCTACCTGGCCAGCACTCAATGTGTTCTTTTGATGTAACTGCGTGGGAAATGGGCGACGTGTGGACCTCGCAGTTGGCATTTTTGCTGGCTACGAGCGACAGTTCGTAGCCCGTGCACCCTGAGGCCTTTGCACAGAGCTCAGCACACTTGGCGCGTCTCTGCTCGTCGGTGAGGCTCTTGTCCAGCTTGGTGTTGTCGTGATCGCCATACTTGCTCTTGCAGGTCGAGCAACGGCAGGCACCTGCAATGCAGTGTGTGTGAACGGACAAGGTAATCAACACCGCTAAAAGGAGCTTTTGTTCTCTCACCCGGGCCGCCTTGTATTGTGGCTTTCGATCCGGCGGCCAAGAGCAGCAACAAAAGACCAGGAAACAACACGCAAACCTGGGGCTTCATTGGCAGACAGGGAGGGGGGGGGGGGGAA